AAGACGGAATATCATCACATTCCTTTTAAATAATCGGGTGGGATTTTTGAGAGTTTTGCTTGATTTCAAATTGGATTTCAGTTATTTCTAAAGTGAACGATTTAGATAAAATCCTCTATTTTGGTAAAATCATTTTCTGTTGCAGCATTATGTGTATGTATATATATTTATTTATTTTATTAGTGCATAATATGGTAAATTATTGGGAAGTGTCTGAATAAAATAACTAATGGACGTTTGACTTCCTGTCATATCATGGTGGTTCTTTACATTGATGCCAAAACAATGAATATAATATTGACAGGCGGGGACGTCGTCATACGCATTTCTTTCCGCTGTAGTCAAGTTCGCTCTGTAACTCGCTACATGAAGTGTTTCACCATTTTCCATCCAAGAATTCTCCTTTGTGTTAATGCTGTGGAGGGATTTTTTTTACTCCATCCTGCCGCGTGCATTTCCATAAACACTGCACGCCTCACAAATCACTTCAAACCACTGTGACTTGTGAAGGCAACCTTAAGTGGGCTGAACACTTAAACCATGATTCACTATGCAATGGATAGAACATGCTGTGTGTGCGAGAAAGTGTCTCGTGCATTTACAGCCTATTGCTCATAACTTTACATATTTATTGAATCATATCAGCTCCACTACTTCTCCCACAGTTGCTTAGCCTGTTTTTTTTTGTTTTTTTTGGGGGGGTATTTAATGAGCCGCAGCCCACAGGAGATGTGCACACAGGCCTGCTATTCCCCACTACCGGGCTGCAGGTTTAAGTGAGGGCCCCGTTTTGTCCTCCCGGGTTTGGAGCAAACTCAGCCAAATAAGAGTCCCTGCATTAATTCGACCCAGCTAAGCTAATAAGGTCGAACACGTCCCATTGTATTGTGGCGCTAAGCTTTATTGCTTGTCGTTTTGACCAGCGATGGACAAGGTAGTGCTTTGATGAGGGAATTAGTCCTCTATTCTGTCCCCGTTATTCATAGCGCGGTGGAACATACAAGCACCAGAGAGGGTGTCAAAAGGAGAGCCGGTCCCATTGCAAAGTGTCCCCCTTGTTGGAGCTGAAAGGGCGGTTATGAGACGATAAACCGCTTAATACACTGAGCTAATTGGATGAGAGCAAGAGAGACGGGGAATTAAGGGGCGATGCGGAGTGCCATGGCCCTGCTATTCAGGTCTTTCAATCGGGGCCGGTTCTCCGCCTGAGGGAGGAGGAGGGGAGGGGGGGAGGGAGGCTGTTCATCAAAGCGCCTTTTAGAGCTCCTCTCCCGGGGACTGAGTGAGGACTGATCCGGCTGAGGCTGTGGAGTGATTGGGCCTATTCTCTGCAGGCAGGGTCGTGGTGGGAGAAACGAGGCCCGGGAGAATCCAAATCACGGGCCAAATCAAGTCCGACAGCCGGGACAAGGAGACGGGAGGGGGGGATGGCAGTGATGAAAATGGGCACGAGGAAGTCAGACATTTATTTCCGGACACCTGGATTAACCTGCGAGAGGCGGGAGGAGCATTAACGCCCTGCACGTGAACACAATCCACCAAATCATGTCGATTTTTTTCTTCTTCTTGCAGCCCAATTTGCGAGAAAACACCACATGATTGGACTGTAGGCCTATTCATCTATTTTTTCATATATCAACATTCATTATGGTGATCATTCATGCAATAAGAAGCCTCGTGGTCTAAGCCTAAGGGTCTTGAAGAAAGAGCACACATCCAACAAGTGTGACTTTATAAATCCAGAGCCATTGCCATGCGACAGCATTTCCATTTTCTCGCCTTTTTTTTTTTTGCGCTGCAAAGAAAGTTTTAAGCCTCTCTCCCAGCGGGTCATCCGCCTCCCGGCATTCCCCAAATATTAGGGACAAATTGGTTTGCCATTCATTAGTTATATTCACAATAAGATTAAAACTCCCCCGGACCATCTCATCAAAACCCTATAGGGCCATACAAGGGGAGAAAAAACCCACCCGCTCCACTGGGCTTGAGCTAAAGAATAAGAATTTGAAGAAGAAGAAAAAAACATGGAGCTCACACATCGTGGATGGTTTAGGCGCTCGGGGGGAAATTGGTTTTTATCTTTCCTTTTTTTTTTTTTTTGCTGCGTTATGCAGCTGTGTGAGGCTGTGAGGGATGCGCGTGCGTGTGTGTATTAGAATAAATAAATGTGCCGAAATTTCCCTCCATCACTCCCTTATCGGATCTAATTCCTGCTTGTTTGGACTAAATTGAGTGATTAACAGGTAATAGGACCCGCAGACATGTTCAACAATACCGCTGAAGGAATAAGAGGAGGGGCTTTCACAGATGTAGACAATAAAAAGAGGGGACTACATTAATCCGCGGGGTAATTTCACGCGATTTGGTCGAGCACCATAGATGGGTCAAACGGAGGAGAATAACCATTGATTGCTGTAATAGTCCTGCATTAGTGGTGAGATCCAATGGGTGGGGGTGGGGGGGGGGAATTAACTCTACGAGGTGTGTGTGTGTGTGTGTGAAAGCCGTTTGATGAAGTGGTTTGTTACTTCATTAATGACAAAGGAGACTCGCTTTCATCGACATGGCATTACAGATGTTAAGACCAATTTAGCACCTTTAAAGGGGTTTAAAGGAAGTTTTGTGGCAGCCCCCCCTCAGATAAAGTGGGCGATCTAATTGAAAACCCCTCGCCTTTGTCGCGCGTTTCACATGTTGGGGATTAGGCTCATGAATATATGGTCAGTATTTTGTCAACTCCGCTGAAGAGGATAGACGCACGCAGCGCGCTGGATTACACACCTAATAGAGTTTCTGTGATTTAGGTGCAGCAGTCCGCCTCTATATCTGTTCTCTGCAGCGATAAGTTCCTCTGTGAACAAAATGTTTTCATCCTCCTCAGCAGGCGTTTGGAACAACCTGTTACTGAAGTCGGATGTATTAATTTGACATTCCAGTAGACTAGTTATAGTCAACGATATTAGTGTTCATTATGATTTATTAAAAACAGTTACATGAATAGGTTAAGAATTTGTATCATGCAAAAAAAATAATTCTTCAAAGACAGAAAACACATTTTCTTCATAACACCTTTTATTAATAGTTATATAATATTCTATTTCACATTGTTTCTTTGTCCCTGGTTTAGGCCTACGTCGGTCCTAAAGGAATTTGAAATAAAGATAACTCATTTTACCAATGTAATTTATTCAAATTAGCATTATTGAACCAGGAAACGTACAATCACTTAATAAGAAAAAAAAAAACGGTCCTTCACTCAAGTCCTCTGGGAAAAGTTTTGACATAAATAATGATCTAAAAATCCTAATAATTCATAAACACAGGTGGAATTCTACACAGGGCGACATTCATTAAACACTACATCGAGTGCAAATTATCAAAACACTGGCTCTTGAAATTTACACTACCTTGTTTTGAAAATCATCCTTTTTTGTGGTACTTTTTTTCCTCCTTTTTACACAATATGTACAGTTTTTCTTCCACACAGTTAGGTCATAAGAGACACATCTCGGATCTCTACTTTGCTTGCGTGTCCCGGAGTCAGACTCAGCAGAAGCTAGCACTGCTGTGATAATCAAAGGGAACGGGAATCTCAAATTGCAGCAAATTTACAGAAATCTGGCGCTGGAAACCACCGCAAGTAACTCTGGTTTGATTCAGAGATTTCAAACACGTACATGTCCAGTGGTGCTGCTGAGCGTGACTGCTGGACAGGCGAGCAGTGGAGAGGAGTCAGGCTTGTAGAGAAGGCTATGGAAGGTCTATGGACAGTTTTCCTTTGGTTCTGGGGGGGGGGGGACCTCCTCCAACTCGCCTTTATTATAGACGCAGACTGGCTCAGCCCACATCAATGCATACAGATTAAGCAGTGACGAGCACTCGAGTTGTCCACATTTGAAGTAGCACAAGAATCCTTTCTAAAAGTCCGGGTTCCCCTGTGGTTCTTCAGCTTTCCGTGTGTGTGTGTGCGTGTGTGTGTGTGCGCGCCATGACAGATCCTATACTTCAGTCAAAGTAGACAAATTATTTTTCAATACTCTGTTACAAGTAAAATTAATTTTACTCAATTTAAAATACAGAAACATTATAAGCAATGTATGCTGTAAAAGTTCAATGCATAAATGAATGTCCCCTGTGGGTGATACTGCTATATATTACAGAATTATTTTTAATTAATGCATTAATGTTACAGTTGAAGTTGATCAGGTGAATCTATTTTTAACTTTTTTTAAATACTATTTGGTTGCTCAATCTAAATCTTACTATTTTATAATTTCATGTGTTTTGCATGTAAAATCCAGAATGCAATGTAGAGTACAAATCTGAAATGTAGTGAAGTAAAAATTAGTAAAAAAGCATCAAATGGAAATACTACATTGCAAGTACCTCAAATACAGTACTTGAGTAAATGTACTTTGTTACATTCTACCACTGGCACTGTGTGTATTTAGTATTTTGCTGTGTATGCGCGTGGCACGCAGTCTTAAAAAGCTGTATACATATACTATGTGATCCTCGTGTGATTAATATGGAGCCAGATTCATATTTCATTTTTAGTGAAAGTGTGAAGAAATAAATGTCATCTTTTCAGCTGTCAAAAAGTATTGTAATTGCTCTTTTAGTGAACAACTTGAAAATATTGAAGTTGCTGGACTGTAATTCAGAAAGGTGTGTGTATGGAGTGTAATTATAGCTGTAATTACCAGACACACACACACACACAGGCTTTTTTTAGCCAGTGCTCTTTGAATTTGGTCGTGCTATTTTGTTGGGGAAACATGAGGTAACAGGGACGGTTGGACAAGGGGACATCAGGACATCAGCCTCCAGACGTATGAATGGGTTTTAGGAGAGGGGGGGGGGGGGGGGGGGGGGGGGGGGGGGGGGGGGGGGG